CCTCAGCCTTCCTGCAGACCTGTGAGTACAATATTAGCTGCATTTTAACATAGTTCCTGTTCTCAGTACAGCCTACTGAGTATAAAAACAGACAGCTCTAATCCTGTCCTGATCCCCGAAATGCTGGTGAAATAGAAATTACTCTTCTGGAGCACGTGGATTCTTCTTAAATTTTAATATACTTTAATTATACATATAATACATCTCTCTGTATTTTTCAGGTCATTAAACCTCAGAGAAGAAAAATTTTCCAACACAACTCTGCTCCAGTTACTAATTAAAGCAATTTTTACACCTTCCTGTGACACGCTGCTAAGGACGATTTATGATGGTGGCAAACAGCAGGAGGTCAATGCCAAAGTTAACAGCTGGGCTTATTGCAGTCACTTCTGAGATGTACTCATGTCATCAAGCAGCTGCTATGCACCAGTAAAGACTGAGAACCCACAAACAAGTCTGCTATCTTTGCAGCATTAAATGCAAGGGAGAGCCAAACTGTGCTAAGAAAACCTTAAATATCCAAAGGCTGAAAGGAAAAAAAACCAAAAAATCAGATCACAAACAGCCTGTTCAGCTGAATTAATGGGGAGAATCTCATCTGCACTGGTGGAGACAACGCATGCGAATCCCATCCATCAATGATGGGTCATCAACAAGGCAGGCGATGACCGTAAAGCAAGTGGTAATGTCAATATTCAGGGAGTTGAGGGTGGAATTATTTAGTTAATAGAAGCAGTTTCCATATACACTGTGAACAGAGTTGTTTTTATATATTTATGTCCTTAAGTAGGGCTCTTGCAACATCTCCCCTGGCCACTTAGAAGGTGGCAGCAGGGAAACCACAGGGAGCAGAGGGATGGGAGGCCTTGCTCCATAGCAGAGCACAGCAGGTCAGAATAAGGCTAACAGCTCAGGGGAGAACAACAGCATCCACAGATGGATGATGGGCTAAAACAGAGCACCACATAGCATACAATATGGGTATCCATGTCATAAACACTCACATACTTGTGAATACGAAGCCAAATCCAGCAAAATTGTCTTCCATAGCACCAGTACACAGCAAAATCCAGGGCAGGTTTTGTGGTTTTTACTACACATTTCCATCTTCTAAATAGGAATGAGATGAGCAGGGGAATTGCCATTTAATGTTTCATTTTCTAAAATAAATATTTTTTTCCTCTGTAAATGAGTGGAATAAATGAAGACATTACAGCCTGAAGCTGCTCATGACTGCCAAGATGCTGAAAATTACCATGCCCACAGAAGAGCTGAGGGAATGAACAATCCCTCCCACTCCAAAGGCAGTGAGCAGGCTTCGTTTAGCAGCACGGATGGAAGATGAGAGCTGTGCTGCTCGGCTCCCAGGCACAGGTCAGGGGGCATTTCCACATTCCTGTTATTTTAGCTGACCCATGCATGGACTGCTCTGTGCTAAATACCTTAAACTACCCCAGGCAGCTCCAGAGCAGGGCAGCTGGGCAGGCTCTTCCATTTTCGTTTTCTTTGCAACCCACCACAAGAAAAAAAGGAATGCATAGTTAACAGAGAGACCCTCACAAGTGCACTTCCTTTCACCGGAGAATTATTAAATAAAAGCAAAAAAGACAAGCCACCAAAAGATGGCAACCCCCTCAAGTATCTCCTCAGCAGGCTTTGCTGATAACCACAAACAGAACTGAACTGCTCTTTGCAATACCTCTCACCCTTAAGGCACCACAAGAAAATGCAATTGCAGACACAACCACAGGGACCACTGAAAAGCAGCAGTGTGCTGTGGCTGGAAGGCTGCAGACAGCAAACCACCCTGCTGAGCTGCAGCAGCATTCCTGGCAGCTGATGCCTCAGACGGAAGTGATTCTGGTTCAAATGCTTCCTTTATCACTGATAACTGCAATCCTACCTCTTGCAATGCCAGGGCTTAACAGATAAGGAGGAGAGGATCTTCCAGGCACCGTAATCCAGTCCTGTTCTGACAGGGTTTTATTTTTAGAAGGCAGCTACATAAACACAACCACAGCAGAACAGAGACGGTGCTGTCTGCGGGGTAAACCTGTGCTAAAGGCAAGATAGCTGCAGCAACAGGAATGTGCATGGCAGCACTTTCTCTCCCTTAGCAATGTGTTCCTCAGTGAGCAAATAAAATCACCCAGGAAAGTACAGAGTGCATCATCTCTCCATATTCCATTACTAAAACTTCCTCAAGTGAAGATAAGTTCTGATTTTTTCCAAGTCTTGATTTCCAGCAGAAAGTTAAGACACTTACAGAATGCCTAATGACTATTTCTCCTGATCACATTAATGGCACAGAGATGGATTTGAAGGGTGGACCATTGGGTGGATAAGGAACTGGATGGCCCCATGCCCAGAGCAGTGTGCCCATAGGAGCCTAATGAGGTTCAAGAAGGCCAAGTGTTGCACACTGGGCTGAGGGAACGTGGAGCTGTGGCAGTGGATCCAGAGGAGTCCATGGAGATGCTTCAAATCCATCTGAAGCACCCCTCCTGCAATGAAAGGCTGAGGGAGATGGGGCTGTTCAGCTGTTAGCATGTTCTGTTAAACCATTCTGTGATTCTATGATAAGAAAAATCACATTTGCATTATGGGAATTGTTTCACTGTAAGAATCACCTTACTGTGTACAGCTTGACAAATACAGAGGTTCTGTTAAATAGCTCAGCTTGTACATATTATCAAGCACACTAAGAGGCAGTGAGATTGTATGGCAGATACTCCAATTTATGTCCTTGAGATACCGCAATTCCATGCGAACAAGTTAACTAGAAGAGCTTTACAGGCAAAACACAAAACCTGGAAGCTGCAATTATCCTGTGCTGAGCAGTAGGATGCTCTGTATAGCAATACCAGCAGAAGCAACATTTACTTTGTATATTAATGAATTGAATGCTGATGCTCTAGAGGCAGGACGCTGGCTAAGCACAATGGGAAGGCAGCAGAGCATAAGGGCAAAGGAAGGGAGCAGGGCCCATCCCACCTCCTCTGGGGAAGCAGCACAGAGGGCTGAGCCACAGCTGCTAACAAAGCCCTTAGATTCTTACCCAATATTAGGCTGAAATAAATGAATCATCATAAAATGGAGAAATCAGTGATGTAGGCTTGGTTAAAAAAAAAAAAAAAAAAAAAGGCAGAAATAAATGTAATGTATTACAGGAAAATAGCAGTGACTTTCTGGCACTGATGCCTTCTGTAAAACCCATCCTTTAACTGCAGCTTTGACAGTAGCCTCCTTTGTGATGAGCACAGCCTTTCCCTGGTAACACCAGCAATTTCCTCCCCATGCAACACGCCTTGCTGGCCAGACAGAGATAAAGTTAAAACGTGGCTGTTGGAAGCAGCATACCAGAACGTCTCTGAAGAGAAAAGCATCCCAAAACCCATCTTGTTGTGTTAGCACAGTGTTAGGATGAGAACAAATCTGTCTTTATACATCTCAGAGAGTTAATTTAAAACCATCTCATGAGGTGAAATGCCAAGATATTAATACCAATTGCAGCATGAGACCATATTACAAGTGACATAAACGTTACAAAACAATCTGAAGTTCGGCCAGGCTGTTAATAGATAGCATTACACAATTACTGACACAGCCAGATAATACTGCATTTCTACTATGCAAATTTTTAACAGCAAATAGATTTTGAAAGGAGTTTACACCCACGATCCCCTCAGATGCAACTTGGTAACTCGCTATTAGGTGCCAAGCTGTCAGTCACAAATCAGTGCAGCCTACAAAGGAGCCACCAACAAAAGCCACTTGATGAAAATGCATGAGTCCCAAAGGAACCTATTTTTAAGCCTGTAAACTAATACTGTTGTATTAATGGCTTTTATTTTGTCATTAATTCTGCTTTTCTCCTATTAAGGCAATACCGTAATGCCTTATTTGTTCATTTCTCAGGAGCAAAGCTCAGCTCTTCAGATAATTTTATCCATATTACAGAGCTACTACACCGCAGGAATCTTGCTTAGAAAGAGGCTTGGAGTTGGCATGTAGGGCCTGATTGACTGTGCTTGAGCACATCTGGCCTCAGGTACACAAACAGCTGTGTGTATTTGGCTTTGGTCCTGCATAGATGGCTGTGATGGTTTTTCAGAGGCAGCTGAGCACCTCCAGATGCTGTTAGCACCATGCCCCCCTCTGCTGCTGCCCATACAGACATGGAGCAAACAGCTCAGGGCCTGACAGGACTGAGCAACGAGGAGATATTTCACAGAGATGGAAAAAAAAAAGAAAAAAAAGGAATATATAACTGTGTTATAACTCTGTTTGCAAAGCCACCAAGTACAGGAACATGAAAGGCTGTAAATAATTCACCATATTAGAGAAAATGTTTCACAAATTAAAAGGTTGTAACCTCTTTTTGGCAACAAAGCTGGCAGATGCTGGAGGCATTCCTGTTTCTGAAAATGCAGAGTGCGGTGTGCCCTATTTATGAGGAAATAGCAGTGACTTTTCAGTTCTCAATCCTCCAAGGAACTGCTCAATGAAAAATGCATCTGCCTGTATTTCTGATGGATGGACCACAAAGGAATAAAGCTTGCACACTTTAGAAATGCAGCTCAGAAACTGGGTAGCAGCTCCCTGCATTCTGATGACACAGCTGCTGCCGTGCACAACGCAGAGCGGAGATAGCATCGAGAGGATGGGTAAATTGGAATTAAGAGATTGTATTTACATAAATACATGCACACAGTTGTTTGAAGATACACACACAAGCTAAAGACATGCATGCACTTATCACAGACGGCTCAATAATGAATGATGCAGACTTAAAAGTGTGACATCAGTCAAATGCAGCCTCGGAGGGGTGACCGCATGGCTGGGGACAGAACACAGAAGCAATTCCAAACAAAGAGAGCAGATTGCTTTAACTTCCTATTACTAACCATTCTGCCATGAACTGAAGAAACCTCACTGGAGCCGCCCCCATCAGGTCAGCTGGTAACCGAACAAACATGGAAAAGAGATCTGAAACTCACCTGTATGTTGCCAAAGTCCACGTTTTCATAATGGAAATGTGCACATTCAGCCATCTTCGGGAAATGACCCTTTGTAAAGGATAACCTGAAGCACACCAAAAGCACATCATAAGATGCAAACCACCAAACCTAAGCTCAGCATCAAGATCTGTTATAAAACCCAGTTACTCATACAAAATGAGAGCTTCCTCACCCTAAAGCCAAGGGAGCAGAGGGGTCTGTTGATGTGATGCACCAAAACAGTGGAGAAAGGAATTGAGCGAGAAAGGAAAACTGAATTGCAAAATGGCTTTTATCATTGCATCCTTAAAAACCACGTGGCATTTCATCAACACCAAAGGCCCACAGCTTTAAGGAACGGTGCAGGGACAAGCAGCTCTACCTTAACAAATGCATTTTTGCAGTGCAAATAAGCAGCCTTACACGAGACACATAGGAAAGTAGAACGTTACCTGTGAAAGGCATCACAGCCCATCAGTCCCGGGTTGATGTATCTGAGGGTGCAGAACAAATGCTATTTATCCTCTGCTTTTTTAAAATTCAAAAGTGAGGCATAATTATTCCCAAGTGACTCCAGCTACAGCGATGGCTGACGGGGAGATCCTCTGGCTCTGCAGCATGCTCTGCTTCTGCTGAAGCTATTATAGACTCCTATAGATAACTCTGGTGGTGAGCCAATGAGATTGTCATTATCTAGCTCTCTCTTCCCACGGGAATATAAGTGGGAAGTGAGATACAGCATCTGGCTGCTCAGCACTAGAACAAAGAGCCATTTCCCTCACAGCATCAGAGCTCTACAGAGAGGTAATGTGAATGCACAGAGCTATCGATACTGGGGAGTTCTGGTCCTCAAGTCAGCATCCTTAGCAAAGACAAGTCAAGTAATATTGATTACTTTTGAGCCTCTTTACAGGTTAGGGGTTTGAAACCTCAGCTACAAACATAATAAGTGGGTTTACATCATCTGGGAGAGAGTGAGAGAGAGCAAAGGAGGCTCACAGGGAAAAGGAAGAGAATCAGAAGGAAAAATAAACAAATAATGACAGAAAAACTGTGCAAAACCCATTCAGGAAAGAGGCAGAAGGTGAAAAAAGAGGAAGAGCAAAACATCAAATAAAAAAAATATATAGGCCACCCTAACATATGTATATACATAAATGCACACATACGTACGTATATATACACACACACATATATACATTTAAATGGATCAATTTCAGAGAGGAATCCCAGGAGTTTAAGAATACAGTAACAGTGAAGTGAAAGAGTCTGACAGGCTTTGCCTCCACGGCATGAAGCAGGCAAGGGACCTAAGGAAACCTCTGATCCCCACTTCCATGCTATGCTCACTATAACTTCGCTTTGCAAGGATTGCTCCCAAAATGTGAAGGCATTAACAAAAACTGTCACTGACTGCCCTGGATGTATTCCAACGCAAGAGCTCAAATCCAGGATGTCACAGCTAGAAGCCCAGCACAGATAGGAAAAAAATCAAACAACACTGCTCTTACTTTTTCACATTCTTCACTTTCATACTTGCTGTGCTGCCGCAGGTCCGGAGCGGTAACTCCCCTGTGATGTCAGGGATATCTGCACCACGTGCCTGCAAAACAAGCAAAGGAAAGGAAAGTAAGGATTGCACGGTGTGGATTGCTGTTTTCTCCATGTACTATCATAGCTCTTTGGTGATAAAAGCTGTATTTTTACCTTTTTAATATGGGGGGAGGGAAAGGAAAAGTGAACCATAGGTGCTGACTTAGCATTTGATTACCTCCCTCCTAAACTGTTCTGTAGAGCATTACTAATAACCCTGAGATCCAATATTTTGTTCATTACTTCTGGTTTCTAAGTAGAGATTTTCAGAGGTCGAGTCCAACAAACACTGCCAAACTCCACACTCGGACACCGGTGCAGCATTCATGCACAGACCCTGGAAGCAGCTGGATAGTTCATGCAGCACAAAACCATGTTAATGACTGAGCTGCTCATCCGTGGGAGGTGAGCTTTCACAGAGACACTTGAAGCTATTGTTGTAAGCACACGAACCTATTAAAATGTCTTTAATTGCTGACATTCATTTAGTTCAGTGAGACCAGAGCCCCACGCTCTCCTTTTCCATTTGCATTACCCATCTTTGCACCCCCCCCCCCCCCTCCCCCTCCTCCTGAAACTGCAGCACCATCCCTGGGGAAGCACTGAGCTCTGTGTGCTGCTGCTGGAGCAGCTCTGAGCTCCAAAGGCTGAGAGGTGGCTCTCATCAATGGAACAGCAATTGAATAAGGATATCAGTACAGACTTCACAGAGCAAGGGGAGCAAACTCTGCTCCCTGATGATGGCTCCTTACTGATGCAGATGAGCCCAGCAGAACGAGCACAGTCTGGATCACAGACAGATGTCTGTTCTGCTTTATGCAGTACGTTGCAAAATGTGAATGATGCTCAAAATAACAAATGCTCAAGCAAGAGGAAGGGACTCAGTTCAGAATTCCCTCTCTTGGAGGCCCAGAATGAATAAGTACTGCACAAACTCATTCTCTAATGACAGGAGGAGGCAGAACTCCCTAGAATAGCAGATCAGCACAAGTGCTTTTGCACGAGTCCAGCCAAAGCTCCCTGAGCAGAAGTCATCAGTTTGGCAGCAGCCATGCCCCAGAACACAGCAGTGCCAGGCACAGCACAGCCTGGTGTTGGACGCAAAGCTTCAATCTGATGTCACAACCCCACAGTCAAGAGAATCTTCCCTGTACCCATCCCTGAAGCTCTTGTTCAGTTTGACAGGATCCAAACTCACACGTGCACCATTCACCATTCCTACCCTCATCAACAAACTGCAGCAGAGGCAGAAGGAGTGACTCAACTTCCAGCACCAGGAGGTACGCAGCTACAGCATCCCCAGGGCTGCTCTCACAGCTGCCATGAGCAGGCTCAGGGTCAGACCCCAGCACCAGGGTCCTTCTCTGCTTCCACTCAGCCCTGCCTTGCAGTCCATCCACAGCTGCACAGACTGTGAGCACTCACTCACTCAGAAAACACCAGGGCAGTATCTACAGACCTGAAGAAACCTCTGCCAGGCTGCCTGACAGCCACAACATGCACAGTTACTTCAGTATCTCACAGGACACTCGAAGAATCTCATTGTGATTTTCAGCATTAAGATGATCACCAATTTAACTTAAACCTTACGCATCTTTTACATGAGAAAATCACTAATTACAGTGATAAACACACCATTCCTGTAAGCTGCTTTTAGGCAAAGCTGGATGGTGCTCGACTTCATTTTCTAAAGAACAGAAAATTTGCAGGAAGAAAAATAATTTCTTCTTCAGAATCTGTGAGAATATGAAAACGGTGAAACAAATCCGACAGAACCACGTGGCCCCCAGGCAGCCTGCAGTGAGCAGAGCCTTGCTGCTGACTCAGAGCAGCGTAGGCAAAACTCACACCTCCAGGAGATGTAAATGCCAGCAGCTCTGCTCCGGGTTCTGCTGTCCTCTCCTTCCCAGCTGAGCCCAACCTTGCTGGTTGCCTTCCCATTTCCAGCATCATGCACCACTGACATGGACCACAATGAGATGCCATGCGCTAATTAACTTCGGGGGCTTTTCCAATTAGATTTGAGCTCTCTGGGCTGTGCAGCTGAACATAATCTCTCCGAAGGCTCACAGCTGAGGAAAATGGGCAGAATGGCAACCCTGTGTAAGCCAAGAGCTTTAGTACGAGGCACAAGCAGCAGAAAAGGAAAGGTGATTAGATAATGAAGAAAGAAATCTATTGCAATTTTATAAACCCCACTTCTCCTAACTGAAATGCAATTACTTTCCATTTAAACCACAGGAAGCCAGCTACAGCATAATCACACTTCATTCACCATTAGTTTTACCTGCTTTCATCTCAAACCTGGCACTCAGGACATCGCCCCACATCACCTCTCTCTCAAAACACAAACAAAACACTCCACAGTGAGATTTGTTATCTCCCGTGCTTTGTGTCACAGCAATTTCCTTCTAAAAATCATTTGGAAACAGTTTGAATTATTTACACCTGAAAATTAGCTAGCTAACATCACAGGTTGGCTTCTCACTCCTTTCTCTTCCATGCATCCCTGTTCCGTGAAAGCTCAGTAATTGCAGAGTAAATCTGTTCGTGCAAATTGTTTAGTCTGATTCTCACAGCTTAATGTCACTGCTGCACCAATCAATCTGCTTTGGTCCCAGACTTGGTAAACAAATTAGGCCTTGAACCAGAACACAGCCTGCTGGCTTCGCGTGCATCCTCAGGCTGCTGTGTTTGGTTGGAGATTTCCCAGCTCTGCTGCAATGCTCCAAGCTGGGATGGTCCCACTGCAGCCTTTGTGCAATAGAGCAGCACAGACTGTGGGGCAGGTGGGTATCACTGAAAGTTCCAAGCAGTTCTGAGACAACGCCTGTCTGTCTGTCCATCCTTCTGGTGGATGGGATGCCAGGTTTAGGTCACCACAGCCATGTGAGTGCTGGGAGTCACCTGTGCCACTTCTGAGTGCTGCTGCTGAACCTCCCAGGAACGCGGGCTGCCAAGTTTGAGTTTGCAGCCTTTTATCGCCTCGACTTGAACTTCAGCTTTGCTCTCTCTGGCACAAAACCTCAGTCATAAATAATTTATTTCTAACAACTCCACAGCAAAACGTGAAGGGATTTTCTCTGAAAAGTCTCACTGCATTCATCAGCCAACACATCAGCCCTCCTCCCTCACTTCCAGAATCGTAACACAGTGTGAAAGCACACGTGAAACTGAAGCACTCCAGTGAGCAAGATGTGCTAAAGTTTGTACCTGGGCGTCCTCAGCAGGGGAGAACCCCGAGCTGGGACAAAACCCCCAGCTGCAGGCTCACACCAGGACACACATGCCCTTGGCCAAGGTTACCACAAAGCCACAGTAAGTACTGGATAAGCATTAGCATTTATGCACCCCCCCCCATCAAGAGTCTCTCATCTGAACCAGGCTGAAGAAACCAGACTGCTCTGGGTTCCTTGAGCACATGGCCTTGTTTCTAACAGTGGCAGAGCTGAATCAAAATGCTGGAGCTGCTCTCCATGGCAGTCTGCCCTTTACATCATTTTCACCTCCCCTTGCTTCTCCCTCTAAAACCAAACCAAAGGACCACGGCCAGAACTTCCCAAAAAGGCAGCCTTTGTCACTTTCACTTCTTCACTGAAGAGCAGCAGGAAACTGCTGCTGCAGCACCAGTCATCACCCAAACAGCAAGTGATGCTCTACTTAATTGGAGCAACTGCAGCCACCAACAGACTCGAGGAGAGCAACTTCTTTCTACTCTCACTTGGAACAGCCATACAGGATCTCCACAATAAATAAACATGCTTTAATGCATTGCAGCTGAGTTCTTCATAACTGCCCGGGATACCTGGATGTATTTAAGGCAAATAAGCACCTGGTTTGCGTGCCCAGGTCTGGCAATCTCACCTTAAACAAAAATACCTGCAGTTTTAGTGAAGAAACAAAGTAATAATCATCCTCCCAACTCCACATCTCCAAACCGAGCTGAAGAATGAGCATCCGTGCTATTCAGGGTCTGAGCAGCAGAGAGCAGCACTGGCACATGTAATACTGGAAACCAAGGGCAGTCTGCTGTGTGGCCAAGAGTCCCCATCCCCAACTGCAGGAGCTGCCCAGTAGGGAAACTCTGAATCCTGGCTGCGTTCATTCTTAATCCCATGTCTAGGAAATCTGTATTCAATAAAGAAGATGCTTTGATGTGTATCGTTTTTTCAGTTCAGGACTTCTAATTCCATTTTCCACATTCCCTGTCACTGAATTGTTCTGCGTAGCCCTCACCGCACAGCATGGTTAGCATGGAATTATTATTCTCTTTCAGAAGACCACACAGGATGTGCTTTTTCTGCTCCCAGCTCCTCCCCTCCAAGGGAAAAAAAGTAAGAGAAAACTTTCAAGCAGTGCCATGAGCTGGCAAATGAAGGAAAACCTCTCATTCCTGAGCTCCAGCGTTACAGGCGTTCATCCACAGCACCCATTTACCACAGTTTGAAGGATCAGCCTCAGCAGAACAAAGCACGAGTTCTTAACTATTCACATCCTGCTTTCTCAAATCTAGCTCAGATAGGCAGGAAGAGCCCCCCCAGCTCACATGTAAAGCAGCTAATTGGGTGAATGGAATCCAAGGCACAGAGTAAGCAACTTGGCAGCAGTCTGGCCCTGCTCTGGCAGTGCTATTGTGACTGTGAACAAAACTCACCTCGTAAAGCTGGCAGATTTTATGTCATGATGGGATTTCTTAAGTGGGCTTTAAAAAGACGCAGATGAATCAAATGCACCCAAAGAATGACAGTTATTTCCAGCAAAACAGCCTTACACTTGCATATTCTTTCATTGCTAGCACTTGTTTCAAAGACAAAAACGGATGCACTGAGCTAAAATGAGTGGTTGGCTACTGGGGACAGCATCAGCATGATAACTACCTGAGAGCTTTAAGGCTGTGTGGCTATAGGCAAGCAGCAGTGAGTGCCTCATTGCCATTCACAAAGAGCTCAGCCCAGGGATCTGCACGTACAGCACACAGCCTCATAGAATGGCTTCTGGCTGAGGAATGTA